CCTGAGATCAGTAATTTGAGCTCAGAACTGAACTGCAACAAATAGTAGGTACTCTTTTAAACAGGTAAAGGTAGGCTGCTCTTATTATAACAGGCCTGATCAATCTAAAGGCCTCCATTGCCTGCAAATAATAAGGATGCTTAGTACATACCTATGTTCCCTTCCATCTAAAAAAGATTCTTGAGAGTCAGATGGTGTGCATTTACCCAGTAGCAAAGGCTAGTTCCTCATGTTGTAATGTTCTCTAGTTGACAAGATGAGCTTGAAATCCTACTGCAGGAAGGTAAATATGACTTTATAGGTATAACAGAGACATCATGAGATGATTCCAATGAGTGGAATATAAGAATTGAAGGAAATAATCTCTTTTCTTGTAGCTTGCATCCATTGTTCTGTGTCCTATTCTCTGGAGCAGCAGAAAACAAGCTTGCTCCATCCCTTCAAATACTTAAACAGGGCTATCATATCACCTCTTAACCATCTTTTCTCCAGGCTAAACATACCTAGCTCTCTAAGGGCCTTTACAGACTGCTAGAAATAGTGCAAATTGAGTCCACTTTAAGGGTTAGGGTTAGGGAATCATGGGAACTGTATTTTATTGTGGCACCAGAACTCTTTGACAGAGAAGGTTCAATGTCTCAGGAAAAAAAAACAATTCCCATGATTCCCTAGCACTATCCCTAACCCTTAAAGTGGACTCAATTTGCACTATTTCTGGCAGTCTGCAAAGGCCTGAAGGGCCTCGGCAGAGAGGAGGGGCAGCCGCACGCTCAGCGCCCCTTCCTCCTCCAGAGGTTGCCTTTGGAGCTGCTGGCCCTCTGCACAGCTGGTGCTCCGAGGGCAACCTCCCGCCGCAGCATCCGGACACGCTGCGGCGGATAAGTCAGTGAAAGTGTGCTGCAAGCTTTTGCAGCGCACTTTCACTGACTTGTGAAAGGAGCGCTATTTTAGCGCTCCTTTTCAGGGACGGGGAAGGAGTGCCTCAGGATCGAGGCGTGGGGATGCCTCGGTCCTGCGGCGCACCTTCCCAGGGCGGCCCCGTGCCACCAGTCTGCTTCCCCCCTAAGTCTCTCCACATAAGGCATGGTTTCCAGAACTTTCACGATTTTGGTGGCCCTCCATTTTGGGCTTTACCATTTTGGCAGTGAAAGCTTCTGTCTGTGGACTGGCTCTTCCAACATTTTTTATTAACATTGTGATTGTTGCCTTTCATCACCTGCCAGTGGAGCGATGTGGAATATTAAGCATCCACTGTCAGGTAGGTAGACCTCAATCCATCTAGTGCAGTGACCTCAATCCATCGAGTGCAGGTTTGCATTCTAAATCACAAGAACGGTCTTATTTGTCGCAAATCATTCAATCTCTGTGTGAAAAATAGCCTGGATTTAAGAGAGGTCACTGTTCGTACACCTGATAACAATCAAAACACACGGTTGCCTTTCCTCTCCGTTTGCTCGGCTTTTGGCACACTTCACCTTTGGCTGGCAGAGCGGGAGAAAATCCATTCTCCCTGGGGCTGTTAAACAAGCCCATTTCCCCTTGAAAGGAAGAAGGTGCACTCTGTGAGTCTGCAGCCCTCCTAGTCCTTACACAGCCTGTCTCTCTTGCTCCATTTCTCCACCTTGCAGTCCTCAAGGCTTTCTGGGATGCAGGCACATGGAGGAGAGGTCTTGATTAGTACGAAAGCAAACACACATCTGGAAGTCCCTCTAGTTAATTGGGCAATTATTCATACCACACTTGCTGGGAGCAGCCTTGTTGAAGACGGGCCAAAACCAACAATGGAGAGTGCATGAGAGCCTGGCCGCCTCTCCGATTGTATAGGGAGAAGGCAACAGGAGGGATCAAGGTGGGGCTTCGATGCTGGAAAAACTGTGGGTGTTTTTCATGGTGCACGAAACGCCAGCATGCCAAACTATTTCTTTATTCCAGCCTGTAATAAAAAGCCATGGCCGCCAGTCTCGGGCTGTAATCCTGAACATGTTTGTGTGGGAGTAGAGTCCGTGAAACATAGTGAGACTTATTTCTCCTGAATATCATGTATAGGATTGCCCTGACAAAGTTACATTTCTTGAAAAATCCAGGCGGCTTAAAAAACAACAACACACCCACATTTTCCATTGCAATGCCATTTCCCTGTTAAGCAAGCAGAGTTTCATTTCAAACCTGTTGTGCCTCTTTGGCTGGCATAACCACAGTATAGATATTTATATATATATATATATATATATATATATATATATATATATATATGACCAACAGCTACTTCTAATTTTTGTCTTTTATTTTTTATTTATAAAGAAAACATGACAACAAAGAGTATACTAAAACAACAACAAATAAAAATAATGTCAGAGACAATAAACCCCCAAATGTGGTTCCCTGGCAGAGGTTTTTGAATAGCTCATAAAACAACGAATTTCCAATGAGTCCTCGCTTCTCATGATGTGCCCGAAGTACAACAACTTCAATTTGGTCATCTTGACTTCCAGGGAGGTTTCTGTCTTGATCTGCTCTGGGACCCCTTTGTTGGTCCTTTTGGCTGTCCATGGGATCTTTGGCACTCTTCTCCAGCACTACATTTTCTCAGATGCATTGATTTTCTTCCTATCATCTTTCTTAACTGTCCAGCTCTGACATCCATACATGATAAGGAATACAATGTCTTGTTTGATTCTAACTTTTGTGCTGAGTTGTATATCTTTGCATTTTATAATCTTTTTTAGTTCTTTCATAGCTACCCTCCCCATTCTTAGTCTTCTTCTGATTTCCTGACTGCAGTCCCCATTTCTATCAATGTTTGACCCCAGGTATAGGAATTCTTTTACTATTTCTATTTCTTCGTTGTCTGGCTTGAGGTCTGACCACAAGTCTACTCTTTAGTTTCCTCTTCTCGGCTAAATTTGCTAAAAGCATCAGCAAGATGTTTTCTGTTTTTGCCTTGGCTTCTTGCAACCGTTGCAAAAAGCAGCATTTTATTTTATTAAGTTCTTTAGCCATTAATTATTCCCTGTAATCATCCCAGCTATGCTTGACCCTATTGAAATTTCTTCCAATGTACTTCCATAAAATCATTCTGAGATCCAGCTTCTGCCAGCTCAGCTACCTTTTCAGAAAGCGAAAATAAAGTGGAAATGAGGCATTCCGAAAATAAACGGGAAATAAACAATAATTCAGCAAACGTCATTACCTTAATTGCGAATTTACAGTAATCGCATTAAACGTCCACACACAAGCAAAAAAAAAAGCCTGTAAATGTACTAGAAATGAGCCTCTTGCACATGCGCAGATAGAGGAATGCTCGCTGAAACCATGGCAACAGCAGGGAAATGCTCCCCAATGCGCATTTGGCAATCACATTACGGTAAATTCGAAATTACCTTAATTGCGCATTTGCATTTCCTCCAAAGAACCGAATTTCAAAAGATCGCAGTTAACACCAGTTTCTGTCCACTTTCTGTCCAGTTTCTGTGCGACGTTGTGTGAAAACACGGGGCACTAATCCAGTTTCTGTTTGGGTTTTGTGTGGATTAACCAGCAGATTTGCCCCCGTGTGATAACGTCATAAGATTGGCTTTTATTTTTAGCGTTTCTTAATCCCTAACAATCCCGATAATCCTTGATAATGGTTGTGTGTCTGGAGATTATAGAAGTTATTGCCCAACATATATAGACACTACCAGGTCAAGGAAGGCTAAACTAGAGAATCCATTACAATTTCCTATTTCCCATTTCTGTTCCCTAAGATATGTGTATGGGTTCGTTGTTGTTTGAGTTGGAGTCACAAATAGATTTTCCTATTCATTCCTGGTTGCTTTAAACAAAAGACTATTTGGAGTCTAAAACAGGCCTGGGTCATCCAGAGTTTTTAAATGGCATATCAAGTTTCTACACTGTAGAAATAATGCAGTTTGACACCAATTTAACTACTATGGGCCCATCCTATAGAAACCCGAGATTTGTAGTTTTGTGAGGCACCAGCGCTCTGGCAAGAGAAGGCTAAAGACCTTGTAAAACTACAAATCCCAGGATTTCATAGGATGGAGCTACAGAACTTAAAGAGGCATCAAAATGCACTATTTCTACAGTGCAGATGCTCCCCTTGAGGTGTTTGGGGTTGTTTTTTTTACAATTATTTTTTTCAATGGAGCTGGGTAGGGTTGGAGAATCATCTGATCAACAGTGAGCAAGATCAGCAGCATTTTAAAGGGTTTTTCCCCCCCAGAAGAGATCATAGGCACTGACACTTTTGGAACGGGGTAAACAATATGGAAAACTGCATGCAAGTCAAACATCACTTTGCAGAACCACTTTATTGAAAACTGCTATGCTTTTCAATGCATTAAGGAGATGCTGCATTATATGCTGAGTGGGGATGATAGGAACTATCCACCAAAACACTTGGATGGCACTGGGTTAAGGAAAACTGGGTTAAAACCACAAATTCCAGGTGCACAGTTATCCTTACATATCCAGCCTTCTGACCTGCTTTAATAATGTTTCTTTAAAAAACCCCACACCATATTAAATGAATGAATGAATGAATGAATGAATATATGTTAAAGGCTCAGGTTTTGCAATGGGCGCATTTGTATCCAATTCTGTTTCTTTTTGCCATGTGGCTTCTCAATAGAGGCTTTGTTCAAAAATCACCTTTTCTTAATAAACAGCAGAGGACACTCTTTCTCTTTCGAAAGCCCATGACAGTAATACAAGGACAAACTGACCCAAGCTCTAAATTTACAAAGGCATGGCAAAAACCTATGTATCTGTATTTTAAATTTGCCCTTTTAAAGAGTGGGCAAAACTTTCCCTCCATACAACTATAAGACAGAACAGAATGGAGCCAGAATATTGACAAAAATATTGACAAAACACTGACAAGGGCCTTTATTGGCAGAGTGATAGGAAGAAATCAGAAATTGTATATAACATGGAGATATATTATTACCACTTGCATGTGCCATGATCAACTTTCTGTTAAAAGGTATAACTGTGGAGCCAGCGTGGCATAGTGGTTTGAGTGATGGACTTCAAATCTGGAGATCAGGGTTTGGATCCCTACTTGGGCATGGGAACCTGCTGTGATTTCTTAGGCATAGTTTTCCTTCTTGGTCCCTTCTGCTGGTTGGAGTCTCTGGGGTATTTGTTGAATGCATGAGGAAATAGTAGAGTGGGTAGGTTTTTTTAGGTTTTCTTTGTTAATGATTACCAAAATTGACAAATATCTTTATATTCAGAATGTGTCATGCCTTCCCAGGATGTACCTTATGTAAACTATGGACGTTATCACACGTGGGCCAGTTTCGTTGTTAAAGAGATAATAAAGTGGAAATGAAACATCCCAAAAAGAAAGTGAAAAAAGAGCTTAATTGTGCAAAAGCTTTTCACACGTAATTACAGTAATAACGGAATTAAGTTAAGAGCGAAAAAGACGTTTTTAACTTTCATACACAAGTGAAAATAACCCGTACATGTACTGGAAATGGGTGTGCTTTGTGACCAAACTCCTCCTTTTTCCAGGGCGTGTCCTGCATTTCCCAGGAGGAAATGTCAGACTGTCCTCCATTTGGGGTCATGTCCTCCTGCACAGGTCCTAACCCCCTTCCATTGGGGTTAGGACCTCTCAAGAGAGCAGAGGAGGAGGAGGAGGCTGGAAAGGCAAGCCGAGGCAAGGGAGGGATTGAGATGGCTCAGCCTCCCTTTTCTCTCTCTCCTTTCCTGGCATTGGAGGCTGTCAGCTGCTGGGGAGATGAGCAAGGAGGGTAGGATCACAGGCAGAGCTGGCAGGGAAGGAGGAGGAGGAAAGGGAAGGAAGGAAGGAAAGAAAGAAAGAAAGAAAGAAAGAAAGAAGGGAGGGCTGAGTGTTCCTTGGGGAGAGCCAGAGCCTTGGATGATGCCCAGGAGAGGGGGAAACTGGAGGTAGCTCCCATGCCCCCCCCATAAGCCTTTCCCCTTTGTAGGACCTGCAGGGCCGAACTTCATGGTGAGATGGATCTCCAAGTTGCTCCACAAGCACACCCCACACTTGCACCCACACCCACCCACAGCTGCTGCGAGGGAAGCCTTCTTTCCCCTCCTTTTCCCTCCATCCCAAATGCCAAATTTCTCCTCTGTCCCAAACTTCCCTTGCCTTGCCTTGCCTTCCCTGCATGGCAGGAGCCTGGGACTCTCCCTCCCTGGAGGCCCCTCCTCCAGGTTTTAAAAGAGAATTGTCCGTGCGTATTTGCTTTTCACATTACAGTAAATGTGAAATTACTGTAATTTCGCAAATGCATTTCCTCTAAACTCCCAAAATTAAAAAGATCTCAGATAATACCAGTTTCTGACCAGGTTTTGTGCGACGTCGTGTGAAATCGTGAGGCATAAATTCAGTTTTTGTTTGGGATTTGTGTGGATTAACCAACAGATTTTCCCTGTGTGATAACGTCCTATGATACAAACAGGGAAACAGAGGGACAGAGGGACATGCCAGTGCTTGAGACAGTGACACTCCCTAGCAGCCATAGCGCACACATGTGTACCCAGCAGTACCTACCATAATGGAACATATAAGCTTATCGCACTAGTATCTGTAACATTCCCATCGAGTCCCTGGAATGTAATGATATGGGAATGGGTGTTACCGTATTAGACTATTGATAATGGGATAGTAACATTATGAGAACACGTATTTTAACTTGTAAGCCGCCCTGATTGGATTACCACTGGGTGGGATA